CTACAATCCATATACACCCATTACATGCAATTTGAGCTTAAAGAATGCCTGACAAAGTCAGAAAATGTCATACTGAATCCTCCACTTAGACCCAGGGCACCGAGAGAGCAATTCAGAGCACTCAGGCTAAGCAGGAGCTAACTTAGGTGCCCATAACCRCCACTCCGGAGGCCTTCACTTCCCTCCATTAACTGCATGGTGATAAAACGTCCAAAATTAGGCTTTGTGAAAAAACAAACCCACAAAATCCGCAGCAGAAGTGCAGAAATGCTGCAGGAGCTGAAGTGCTCACGTTAAACAGGGAAGTATCCGGCAAAAGCAGAGCTCAAAATAGAGTACAGCTGGGAAGCAGGATTTGGCTGGGAGCGATGAGGGGTTTTCAGAAGGTGTCTCACAGAGAGAAAAGGGCAGAGCTGGCGAATGGAGATCCTCAGCAAGGCAACGAAGATGGATGTTCCTGCCAAGGGAAGGGGGACGCACCGAGCCTGGTCCCCAAAGGAAAGGCAGGAGCGGCACCGTGGTGGCCTTGGAGCGGCCACGCCACCGAGCTGGAGAGGTAGAAGGCAAAGGAGCTGAGAGGCTGGGAAGGGGGCAGAGATCTGGCAAAACGGCCCTGCAAGCGGGACCGGGCGGGCAGGACAGCGGGGTTAGTGGTACCGGGGAGGAAGAGCCAAGGAGGCGGATTCAGGAGGTGAGGAAATGGCAGGGAAACCTTCCGCRTGCATGTGCAAACTGCCGGAGCGAGCTGCGGGCCGCCCGGCTCACGGGAAGGCAGCACCAGAAAAGGAGGTGCCTGGGGAAGCTCTGTGGCCATAAATAGAGAGAGGAAACGGAGCCACGAGGGCCTGCAAAGGGGTGATCAGAGAGGCTTTACAGAAAGTACAGATTAGGCAAGAAAACAGAATGTTTGCCCAAAAAAAAAAAAAGGAAAAAAAAAAAAAGTATTCAGATCTGTTCCCTCACCCTGACTTTAGTTTTAAGGCCGTTAAGACTTAACTATGCTCTTGCAAAGCGTAACAAATTCCCTTTGGCCCAGGTTTGGAAAAAGGTTCCCGTTGCACCTTGCTGCCGACACGCTCAGCCGTGGGGCCGCCGCTCCTGAAAGCGGGCATGTGCCTCCCAGGAGCGGGGAGGATGCCCAGCAGACAGCGTGAGCGCTTCCAGAGGCGGCTCCCGGGGGCGGCGAAGCCCCCCRCGCCCAGCGGGCAGGTCGCTCATCACCCTTAGGCTGCGTGGCCACAGCCCCGTCGCCCCAAGCACGAGGGAGMCCCGAGGGCCAAGGGCAGGCGGGGGGGCCTCAGAAACACCCTGTCCTGGGGCTCCCCACAGAGCCCCGAGCCCACCGAGCTCCCGGCTGAGGCAGTGTAGGGGAGCCCGGGGGCACAAGGGCAGGTGGGAAGCCCCAAATATCTACTTGGAAGAGCCCGTGGGGGGACCTACCATGTATATGCACGCCCCTACCTACTATGGATGTTGCACACGTGCTGTGGGTGCCTACCAAGGCGACATCCTCAGCCTTGCTCCCAGCTGAATCCTGGGCTGCAGCAGCCTTGTCTCGTCAGGCAACCAGGCTCAGTCTCCTCTGCAGGCAAAGAAAACCCTTCCAGAGCAAGCACTCCCTAATATCAAGCATTTAAGGGCTKCTTGGCCTCTTTAACGCAGCTGAGTAGAGGGAAAAGCAACACCGTGCAGCTTTGCACCACGCACGGAGCGCAGATCAGGAGCTTGAGGCCTGCCCCTAAGCAATGCCCACACGTTTGGCTATAAAAGCTGCAAAACAGCAGATAAGCAGATCTCCTCCCATGYCTGCACGCGTCGCAGCTCAGCTACAGAAAACACACAGCACAGAGCCCGGACGTTGTGTGCGTCACCCATTCCCGAAGCTGCCGGGCCTGCGGCTCGGGACAGCAATCCTGTTTTACAGCCCCTGCAGGTTTCTTAAGTGTAACACTGGTGGTTGGCTCCAGAGCAGTTTCTCAGAATTGATGCTGTCCAGAGTTTGTTGTTCTCCTCAAGTTCACACACCTTTACACCGTAAAGACTAAATTTCACAGGGTGAAAGGCAGACCAACCCTGTCTGGAAGCATGGGTGGAACTCAGCTTCCATGAAGACCAATACTCTCCTGCCAGGGTCCTCTCCCTGGTTTATTTTTGTTAGGTTCTCCTTTAGCTGAGCACTGCCACAACGAACCCCAAGGTACGGAGCCTTCTTGAGGAGATGGAAGGTAAAAATGGGGGAAGGATGGGATAAGTAACAGAGCTCCTGCTTTCCACCCTGGGGGCTCTGGGGTCTCCCGTGCTCCCACCTCCTCACAACCCCCAGTCTGCTCGCAGTTCAGAGAACAGGGCTGGAACGAGGGGCAGAGGTGGGCAAGGTAAACAGGCAGAAACAGGGTATTCCCATCTCAATGCTGGCTGCCTAGTTGCCAAAAAGTAATGGCAGTAACAACTGAAGGAAAAGATGAATCCTTTCGGTATGGCACTGTGAGAATCAAGCATCAGTGAGAAGGAGGAGTCTTTGTCCTTGGCTCACAGGAGTCTCAACACGCTCCACTTTGTGCACCAAAGCTGAGCAGTGTGAGTTTCTCAGAACAGCCTGGAATGAATTCAGGCAGGCCACAAGCCACAGCTCAGCAGCCCAGTTACTGAATTGGGGACAGCGCTGAGAGCAGCTGGATGATGCAGAGCAGCATCTCTGAGCTTATCATTAAATTGATATCAAGTCCCAGGGGGCTCCTGCTATCGTCTGCGTGCAGAAGTAAGAGCCAATTAAGGAAAACTGTTATTCCCTCTTCCCTCGGCCTCTCAAGTCTTAGAGTTAACATCCCTTAAAAAAAAACCCTATTAGTAGTTAAATTAAACTTGTATGTCTTATTTTAGACAGAGATTACGCAGTGAAACGACCAAAGAGTATTCAGTCTGCTGGAAAATATGTATCATGTGGTTAGTTTGAACAAACAAAATATAATCCACTTTTTGTGCAGCACAGATTGAGACCTGGGTGCCAAAGACAGATTTGAGAGACYTGTAGGGTTAAGGCTTATGTCCCACAGTCAAGCCCTTACCCTTATTTGCAATTGAAAACACGAAATAAAATCAGTCAGATGAGTTTCCTTCATTAATTTGCTCTAGTTAGCTAAGTGCATCTACTTTATCACCTTTCAAATGACTAAAATAGATCTTTCACAAAACCACACAGAGCTGATTACTTACCTTAAAAATATGCCTATAAACCCACGTTTAAAAGTACAGGCAGGAACTGATTCTTCTTCTGACAACTTTCAAATAAGGTAAACTTCATGTCAAGGAAGTAATTCCTGTATTTACAAGGAACCCTTTAATGGACTTCTTGAAAAGAATGTCACTTAGAACTGGAAGCTACAGTGACTGCCAAGCTAGCATCATTCAAAATCAGGTTTGTCAAATACAGCAAACATATGTTTACGTTGAGTGATACAGACCTACCCATCTTAGTGCACAGATCCATACTCATCCACATACAGCTTAATGACACACTAGGAGATGGAAAAAATCAGACCAAAAGAGAGCTATGTATGCGAAGAAAACTAAAATTAAAGGAGACCATCATCTGAGGAGGGAAGGGCAAGGGAGAGCGCTGCACTCGCAGGGTGTGTGTCTCAGTCAGTCACTGTGTTGTTGCAAGACTGGGGCAGCGCCCAAGGTTTTGAAGAGGTTGCAAGCCCGTGCACCACACCAGAAATGACAAATCTTGTGATATTCAGTGTTTTCCTTAGAGGCTCAGTTTCTAACACTGTGAGACAAGGGAAAAGCCTCAAGTCTTCTAAAGCTGAGTAACCAACGTTGCAAACGTCTGTTCTTTCATGATGTATCAAAGTGAAGTCTGAAGACATGGATCACAAAGGTGCTGTAACTCAATTCAAAGAACCATCCGTTTTAGATTATTTAAGGCCTCACCAGTGTGTTGCAAACTCATATGGCAATTTAATGATCCCAAATAGTCAGTTTGGACCATTGGCCACATTGCAGCTGCACCCAAACCAGCTTCCAGTTCCCTGGACTGGAGCATTACAGAAGTATTTGGCCCAAGTCCAGAAGCAGCAGAGCAGGAGGAGCAATCCTAACATTGCAGCCACCTGCYCCTCACGTGAGAAGCCTATGAGAATTAAAGCAACCATAGAGAAACATACACCTCCTACCTCCAGGATAGGAGAGCAGGTCCTACCCACAACCATATGTCCTCCTCTTTTTGTAAGCAGCAACCACAAAAAAAAGTGAGGCTTAATTCAGTAACTGCAGTATTTTCCCTAAAACACACAGTATCCCTTGAAAGACATTAGTAGGGCACTAGTCAAGAATGACAAATGTCATGGAACAGACGCAAGTAATCCCTATTACCCTACCCAAATATAGCTCCRTAAAAGTGGTACTTTTAGAATGGACTATATCTACATAGAGAGGTATACCAGGAATAGTGCTTAAAATCAAAATAGCTCAAGATCTTGGACACAAGAAAACCATCCATGTGACAGACAGGAACACCATTCTCGGGCTCAGAAGAGCTGCCTGTCAAGAACAGACCTGAAGTGTTTATGACTACAAAGACAAAAGCCCCAGATTAAGGTTTAACAAGTTCCAGCACATCAACTGCCCCACAGCAAACACAAAGCAAAGGCATTGGTTTAACCTCACAGCACTGTGAGCTAAATAAATTACCTTGTATTTGCAGCAAGGTAAGAACACGCCTGGATAAGATTACCAGAGCCCAGGGACTCCGTGCTGGCCTCTCAACAGCAGGATATGGAGCCCGGTCCTCAGGTCACGGACCTGAACAGGCCAAACAGCCCAAATGCAGCTTTTATGAGTCGGGCACACACAGCACAGGCACTGCTGAAACCAGGAAGGAATGACACATTTTCACCTGTCAGACTGGGAGATGTTGTGCTCGGTGAACACAGCAGTAGCATTCACACGAAAATGAGCCCCGAGACAGGGGAATGAAGGATAAAACTGGGYCTTACCGCTTTCCTTTAAACAGCGAGATTGTTGTTCAGCTCCATTAATCCACTGCTCTCACCAGGATCAGGGAGATTTCCAGAGRACAGCTGCAAGATAAAGCAGAGGTTCTCCAGTTAATAGTTGTGCAGACAAATCAGTGATACACTAGATGTCTCASGTGGTTATATCACAGAAGTTTCCTGGAACAATATTCCTACAATACTCCAAAATTCCTGTGATGGYATAAGAGAACTACACTTAATCTTTTAACACTATTTTAGACAGTCCATACTTGACAGCACCCTAAATTTCTATGTCAGCAGTTCCAGTAGGACTTTTTTGGTTCTTCATTATGAACTTTCACTTCTATTTTCCCCACAACCAGAGCAATAAATGGCTACCTTCATAAAATGACATCAAAGAAAATTCCACTTTCTCAGAAGCAGGACAACACCACTGCGAGACAGTGCTAAACAGTGGTGTAAAACCCACAGTGGTAACCAGGCATGTGGTAAAACCCCAGTGGTACCAGGCATCACCCTCGCACTGCTGCATCACAGGGTAATGCCTCTCCAAATACTTCTGCCTCGGGTGCCTCAGCTCTGACTTCACAGCTACCCACCCAAAAACACAGCCCACCTCACAGCTCCTCCGGTAGCTCTTCCCAATTTGCCCATGAGAAAAGCTCAGGGATAAACCGCCCTTCCCTGGGGTCACAGGTAATTTCTGCWATTCAGTATTTCTCCTGAATCAACCCACTTTGCTCTGAATCACTTCACTTTGTACGGCTAAAGTGCTCAGGTAGGTAGTGCATTAACAACAAGACCAAAGCAAGGTTCCCAGCTAGGGAACCTGTGGGGACCCAAGGCACACCAGGAGAACTTAGCAAAGCCTAACACATTTGAACATGTTGTTAACTACCTCCTTGCTACAACTACTGTGTAACACAGCAAAACCCCTTTAAGGGGGTTTCAGAAGCAGGGCTTCTCAATCTRCTTTGCTCTGACGTTCTGCTTTTGCAGGAGGAGTCATCACACGTTAAAAACCACTGGGCTGGGCCCTTGTGTTAAAACACAAATCCTGCACAAAGTGACCTGCTTGCTGTACTTAAAACAGCAGGACCGTATTAGGAAGCAACATGATTTTGCCTCACTTACAGCTGTGGGTGTCTGAACACCACTGCAGGGCTCAGATGCTCACTCTGTTTCCTGCAGGTTACACAGCTTCAGAGGCAGAAGTCTAAGTCCGTAGGGCAGAAATCAAAGTCCACAGTGCTGAGACTTGCTAACACAAGGTGACCTTTCCATGTAAAACAGTTGCCTAAAACTAACTTAACTGCGAGCTAATTCCCTCCAGGGAGCCAGTTAAGGAGCTTGCAACAAATGCAGCAACTGTTACAAATACAAAATTATGAGGATGTGTGCAACACCAGAAACTCCTTCCTGCCTAAGTTCCTCACATTTTTCCTGCAACAAACATTTAAAGGATCTTTTTTCATCTCCAGCCTCGAAGCTTTTCACAGCAATAAGGGTCAGATCCAAAACTCAGGGAGGTCGGCGGAAGAGAGAAACCAGATAATGAACCAGGAAAATGTCCTGGTTGCAAAAGGTCTGTTCTGAGCMGTTCAGTGCCTGGCTTTGGTGATCTGCAACGCCATGAAGAGGAGCAGGGAACAAGGGCTCCGAGCTCGAGCCTTGGCAGATCTCGGGAGCAAAGCCGAGGCTGAGGTTAGTGCAGCCGCAGTTCGCTGTGTTCTTAGCACCGCTCTCTCTCTTCCTGCGCTGTGACCTATTTATGTCTCCAGCAAAACAGACCCCCCAATTGTGCTTTAAAAACAGGCTGTTGGGAGAAAAATAAATAAATGGAAAAAATTACATCACTTCATGCTGTCTTCTCTTACCTTCAGGTTTTTTCTAGCCTGCTCTTCCTGCTACGTGAACGCGCGCTCTGCACGATCCTGCAGCTGAAGGCAGGGCTTGCGTGTGTATGTGCAGCTTATTCACGTATTTGTGAAGGCTTCTCTCCCAGAGCTGTGTACACACCTAGCTCTGAGCAGATTCCCACCCACTGATGTCCTTATTTATTTGTTCTCCATGCCGTTTAAGCCGGAAAATAAGCAATGTGGGGTTTCAGGTCTTTTTCCCCCTCAAGAAAAATCGTCATTACCAGGTCACATTCAAAAAGGAAAGCAGCCAAGAGGTCTAAAGAAAGAAAACATAATATTTTGAGAAGCCTTCTCGTTGTTTATAAAGAGCTCCTGAATAACACACTCTCCAAGACTGCTACCAACTGTTTCCACTTCACTTTCACTGAAATTAAAAGGAAATCTCAAGGGCAGCAACACTCCCATCCAACAAATAAATGACCATCATAATTCACTGTTACATGTTGTCTCCTTTTTATGCTTCCTTCTCCTTAAGCAACGAAAGGCCCTCATTTCCATTCCTCCTGAGTTACAATTCTCTGTATTAAGGTTTACACTTAYATTACAGGGTTAAAACCACGTTGCAAAACCCACCTCCCTCTCCCAAAGCAGAATCTGACGGTGCTGTATTTAAGTGAGACCTGAGAAGACCTCAGAGCCCTGGGTAAAGCCAGGCTTCCACTACAAACATGCCAGCCACATTTAGGACTCCCAAACCTTCACCCCATCCATTCTGGGCTGCTAACTGAAAACACCCGATGCAACAGCCTAGGGGACCCTTTGTGACAAGGGCCCAGTCATGAACTGGAAGCACTGGGAAGGCCAAACGCTCGGCCCAGGCTCTGCTCATCCACAGCCCCTGGCCCTCCCTGCCAGTGGCCGCCTCAGAATCACAGACGGGTTGAGGTYGGAAGGGACTCTGGAAAGGGCCTTGTCCAACGCCCCCTGCTCAAGCAGGGTCACTAGAGCACGTGGCACAGGATCCCGTGCCAGTGATTTCTGGGCATCCCCAAGGAAGGAGGCTCCACAACCTCGTGGSGGGACCTGCTCCAGGCCTGCGAGCGCGGGTGCAGATGATGACCTGCACCAAGAAATCAGCAGCGCTCCGGAGCCTGAACAGCTCCTACGGCGTCTGGGCACATCCCTTCCCTCGGGAAGTTCAGGAACGAGTACAAGGCTCGCCCCTCAGCAGACACAACCCCGGGCTAGGAGTCGCGTCGCATTTTTCTCCTCATGATGCAAGCTGCCAAAAACACATGTGGGAAACCAAAAATACCAAATGAGTTTTGCGGGATTTGTTTTCTTTACTAAAAAAGGGAGGGAAGGAGGAAAACCAAAAAAAGATACATAGTGCAATACATTTAATTTAGAACTATCTGAAAAAGAAGGATCGGCAGCCACGTACCATCTGAAACAAGGCCAGGATTTTTATAGTATTCCAAAATCAAGGCACCCAAAAATATAGAAGGGTGTCAAACCCAGAGAACGACAGAATGTACATTTACTTTCTGCAAACACTGTTGTTAGATATAACAGACATTGATACGTATTAATTAGATATATCTATTAATTAGATACAGACATTCTATGTCTTCTATTTAATCCACAGTCAAAAGGAGGGATTTGAGCAGCCTGCAGATGCTGCTGCCCCATGCTCGACCTCCAACAGCTTGCTCTTCCATCAAGGAAACATCCCAAACTCAAGGACATGTTGCCAAAGTGCACTGTTATGTGAACTTAAGAAATACGCTCTTCCTCAAACCTCCTGACTCCTTTAAAAGCAAGAACATTAAATCCAAGGAGAAGACAAGTGCCTCATGTTCTTTAAAGCAAGTTGCTGGACTGAATGAAAGGGGGAAAAAAAAGGAAAACCACTTTGCTCAGTTGAGCTTGTAAGTTTAAGAAATACCTCTGGATGAAAAGATCGTTTCTCAAAACTTCTAACGTTTGTATGAAACCAAGGTGATCTAAACAAAGAGGCCGCCTCCTCGGTGGGCTCCTTTTCTCATCACAAACAGGCCGCCCACGTCAAGAGCTGCAGGGCGAAGAAAAACAGGCTGCTGGTGCTCCAGCTTTAYACGCTCTGTGCTTAAGTCTCAGTTCTTCAGAGCTGTCAAAGCATGAACCTCTCTGCAGTCCAAAGCCTCAGCAAAAACAGAAAGAGAACCAACATTCACTGATACCTTAGGGCCATCAAGGGGAGAGCTGGCTTGTAACCGAGGTGCCAGGAAAGCCACCCACAAGGGACAACTCCCATACACGCGTAGTTCCGAAAGAAACTATCRGTATCTCCATGTTTCTAAAAGGTCGTTGTGATTGGGGCTCCCCACACGTCCAACGTGGGCCCCTTTTGTGTCTGGGGGAAGATTCTGCAGCCAGCAGAGCTGGAGCGTCGCTGCGGACGACTCGGGGACGGGGCCTCACGCCACCCCTCGTCAGTCAGCGCTAATTAACGAGCTCTGGCAACACCAAAAACGTAACTCAGCGTCTCCCTAGGGAGCTGTGAGGACAACGTGGTGTGTATCCCGGCTGGGGACCATCCGCAGTGTTTCGTGCTGATGGATCCCAAGGCCTCTATCCACAGCTAGCCCYTTCCACTGGGGATGGAGACCAGGAAGGTGAGATCCAGCAAAGGGTCATTCAGCAAATGGCCTTTTCTAGAAAAAGCCTAGAGCTCCAGCAAACAAGCTACAAACTTTGTGCAACGCTCCCTCCAGTGCTTCATACATGTTTTATAAGCACCTCAATATTTTTATTATTATACCTAATCAAAACACATTTAAGATAGAGATTTTGATACGTTCCACATTTTAAAATAAGTATTTAGATGTGTTACCAAACTGTGTTATCCACTGTGTTCCACCCCACACAGCTTCCCTCTCATTCCAGCTCTCAGCACTCCAGCAACAGGGACGAACTCGCACTGCACCACACTGCGTTTGTGGCAAGCAGCAGCGGACGCAGGCTATCAAGTTAATTAAGAGCTCCACAATTAAGAGCTGCAGTGTCAGCAAAGTGCAGGAGTCAACAGCAGCACATTTGGACTCCCTATTCGGGAACTTTGTCTCCGTTCCCATGCAAAAGGGAACGGCTCCGAACACCGACATTCGGCTAAAGGTCGGAAAGTCGAAGCAAGGACAGCAGCAGATTGCAGGTTCAGGCAGTCGGGAAAATCCAGCTCCG